CCGGGGCCAGCAAACAGGTGGCTACGAGAGGCAGGCCCCGACGTGAGGCAGCTTCCCCGAGTGGGAGCGTTGCACGCGTGGGCTGAGCCCGGAGCTGCCCGGCTTTTCGCCTCCCTTCAGAGCACCGCTCCCTCGAGGGTGACTGTGCTGGGCGCTGCGGTGCTTCTCTGGCCCGATCCGCTGTCTCTCCCCGCACCTCGGCTCCCGGAATGAAGCTGGGTGCTCCTCTCCTGGCTCAGCCTTGCCACGACTCCTAGCTCTGCCCGAAGCCCTCGTGGGCATCTGCGTGGTCTCGGCCTCGGAGGCGTGTGTGGAGCCACAGCCCTGACCCGGTGGCACGCACTCACCAGGACCAGGGCGCGACATTGAATGGACCCACAGCTCGCTCGCGTCTTGGTGGATCCTGTGGGGAAACAGCTCAGTTTTGAGTGGGGGATGAACATTAATAGAGCTGAGTGTAAAACGCACGTGGACCACAATTACTAAGTACAGCCCCCTTCACCTGAGCAAAGCCTCCCGAATTCATCGCCCGGAGGGAGGCCGCTGCAGAATCAGGGCCTCGCCAGGAGCCATTTTACCCTAGCCATCCTTCAGAACATGGCACGCTCTGAAAGGATGTGCCAGCACAGCCTATGGATACCTAAGGCCCCGCCACACATTCAGATTAAAGCTGGCTAGCCACCAGCTATAAAGTTGTTATACATTTTCTAGCACTAACTTTGTAACTTGTCAGCTCTTTTTATAGCTGGATGAACATTTTATATGGTGTGATAATTACTTTACGTCTAAATTTATTGTGCGATTAACCAGTTAATTGCATACTATACGTAGCATGTGGCAAAGGACTTAGAAAAGCTCTTCAGTTTGTACATAGCCATCTTAAGCCCTGACAGGCTAATTTTGGTGTCTCCACGTAGGAAATGGACACCCATAGAATTGGACAAAATAATGAGAAAGGTATCTGACATGTTACAACTGGTCGAAAAATTTCAGATTTTGGAAAAAAGAAGCTGATTACAATTTTCCCTAAAAGTGAAATATTTTTATATTTCAATCTTTCCATTTTCCAACATGTTTAAAAACTGGAGGAAATGCTCACAGAAGTCTTCTGCAAAAAACTTTCAATGGCTTTTCTGTAAAAATTTGTCAGCATTTTCTTTCAGTGCTAACAATATAGGTATACAAAATGCAGCATCTGCAGATGCTATGCATATTTATTTTTATTTATGGCCTGCTTTAATTAGATGCTCATCACCATAGTAACTAAAAGCCAGGTTAAGAATAATTAATAATAACATACGTGTTTATTAGAATAAGTATTGACAGGACAAGTTCCATGAAGACATGCTGTGCTCTCTGTGATTATGACAGACAGGACTCTGAAACTTGAGCAGTTGAATCTATGTGCAGCTGAGAGGAACCCTTTCAAAGTGGAAGGTTAATTTTAGGTTCTCAATAGGCTTCATTTTTGTCTTCTCCCTCTTTCTCAGCCTGGGAGCTCTCCGTGCTGCTCATGATTGTAGTTTCTGTTTCTAGTATTTAGTCCGTGTTTCTTTGGTTCCATCTATATTCCAGGTAGTACACAGTCTTAGTTCTTAATGACACTGCTGTTCTTCATCTCCTCATGCTGCCTATTCACTGCAACTTCCTCCTCCCATGGACTAAATAGCCTTCCCTTTTTGCTGTCTGAAAGTCATGATAACAAAAAAGGCTACCTGCTGTCACAATCATTCTGAGCTAGTATCAGCAACAAAGGCGCAAGTGTACTCAACTACTATCAGTAAGCATAAGCCTGATAAAGAAAATATAGTTATCAGCACATATACGTCCTAATCCAGCAACACACTAAAACATAGGAGTGGAACTTTTGTCTTTTGTTCCAGGTTTGGCTACCAACAGAGAGATGAGTTTTTGCCCACTTTCACCCAACATCCATCACACTTAGCTGATGGCTGTGAATTGATGGAATAAAGAGTTAAAATTGGTTCATTGAAAATTCTCCCAAAACCTTACTTGTGGCCTGACAGCACAATACGACCAAACCACTATTTGCATTCTCCTGCCCCTTTGATATTTTGGGGAAATACATTTTGAGAGTCAGAGCCCCCAGTTCTGATCCAGAAGTTCTGGGTATAATTTGGAGTGTAAATTCTTTCCAGTCTTCTGGGTCAATCCTTAAAATACCAAGAAGAGGCCTGAGTGGTGAGAGTCTATATTGAAGTCTATAGATTAACTATAGATTCTTCAGGTCTCTGGTTTGGTGGGTTTTATGCACTCAATTTGATAGCAAAGGCACATTTTCACACAGACAAATGGCATTTGATTTAAAACGGAGCCATCAAAAGTAAGTCTCTTCTGAGTTCATAGACACCTAGACTGCCACCTCTGTCTGAATCCATCCCTACTATACTAACTTTGGTTAGTCTATAGGAAGCAAATCGAACCCGCCTTCTACTTGAATTGATCCATACCATAGGTAGGCTCTGAGTTGGGCCTCCATTGTTTTTACCTCTTACTGCCGTTGTCTATAACCGATCCTTGTTGTCTGTCATTGTTTGTTTTATTATATTTGTGGTACATATTCTGCACTATACATAATAGCCACATGAAAACCAGCAGGTCACCTAGAGCAGCAAAGTGTTTACTTGAATGCAAGTCAAGAAAGTGAATATTACCCAGTTTGCCAAAGGCAACAGAAGCCGTGATGTCAGTGCTGATCATTTTCAGAAACTTGTACAGGATTTATTTCTCCTGGATCATGATTGATAGTTGACCCATCAGTGTCTGACTGTTCTTAGGCAGAAGGAAAACTGAGTGTTACTTCCCCAGCACTCTTACTTGTCATGCTGAGGTACATGCTTGAAGTGGGGGAATGGACTTCCACATAGAAAATAGAACACAGAAGCCCTGTGCCATGGGGTCTTTATGATTTCTAAGACCAAGCAGAGCTGCACATTAAAAGGTCGCACACCTTGCCATATTGTGTCATACCTTATTTTAATGCAAATTCCTTCAAGGATTATGAAAGGCTTTATAAATGTATTCAGCTTGACCTCAATGCCTAAAAATGTAATTAAATTTTGAAAAGGAAAACGGGAAAGGATTATGCAGAAAGGAAAAGCAAGGAATATTTCTTTTCTTTTTTTCCCCTATGTAATAATAACAAACCCAAGGATCTAGTTGAGAAAACCTCCAAACGATTTGTTGGGACTGAGTCACAAGCAGGCTGTAGTAGAATTCTGTCTTTGCTGCTGTGTCACTCTTGCAGCTTTAGATGCTTGCTGACTGTGGTTTCAGTCACTGATATAAAAAAACAGAGGAAGGAAGATAAAACTGACTTCACTGAGCTGCTTTTTTGTGTGCACGGCATGTTCCCTTTGAACACAGCATGGCCTCCCTTGCCCAGTTACATGGGATGGAGTTTTTAAAAAGGAAAAGCTGAATACATAAAGTTTCATAGGATTATATGACCTATTAGATCATCTGGTCCTCTATTCTGTCTATAACAGGATTTCTCTCTTCTTTTTATTCTAGTTAGCATTACAAGTCTTACAATTTCCTGCCCTCTCATTCTGAAGCAATGGTTTGGACCTAACCTCCAGAATAAGTTTTGTTCCTAAGTCTCTCCTGTATTATCATCTGGGTCCACATCTCAATGTACAGGTCTGGAATCTGTATATCCCAAAGCTCAAGACTGAGATGACATTTGCTCATTATAAACCAATGACCCATTTGCAAGGCATGGATCTTGGCCTGGGTTCAGATTTTTAACATCATTTAATTTGGGAGCAGGTCAGCCCTTCATTGGTATTACAGCTTCTCCACAGCCACTATCTTCTTTTTTATATTTACTGGTATTATTCTTTTTTCATTCCATCAGCATTTGTAACAGGGAGTAGCAGATTGATGCACCTCAAAGGACCCAGAGCAATTTGCTTTCGGGGGCATATTTTCAAAAGACATGATGGTCTGGTGAGGTCACCAAAATGATGGAGTGGCGAAAAGAAAACAATGCTTCTCTCTGTGAGACACTTTGCCTGTGCAGTGATGTAAGGCATCCATAGATGGAGTTCCCGGAATGTTTTCTATGCTGAGTATTGCCTCTAGGTCTTATATTTAACTTCTTTGCAACCTTTCTGTTCCCACTGCAATGGGTTAATTGATTCTCACCAGCACTTTTTTGATCAGATTAGAATGAACTCTGGGCAACAAATTCCTGATACCAGAAAGTGGGGTACGGTATAAGAGCAAGAAGCATTGTTTTTTTTCTACAACTATGTTGCCAAATTTTCTCTCTTGGCAAGAGGTCAATTAGATAAATATACATTCTCTCTTGCTCTGTGTACCCTTTCTTGACCTTTGACCTACCATGTGATGAGTATTTGGCACAGCCTTAACTTACATGTGTTTGATGTTGTGGGGTGGGGGGAGGAAGTATATTTGTTGTGCTTACTTTGTATGTGGGTTATCATTTGTGTATGTTTGGTATGTGTATGCTTTGGCATCTGTACTTAGCCTGCCTGTGGATATTTGGACCATGTATATTTGATGTGTGCTTAACATTCATGTATGTGTTTGTGGAGTGAATTTGTGGTCAAAGCAAGTTATCAGTAAGGTCAGTTTCCTCACGCTATCCCAGAGCATGAAATGCATCTTATTAAGGTGATGAGAATCAGTGATTATAATTCATATTCTATAATACAATGTGGAAACGTAAATCTCAAATGCATTTTAAATTGGTCTGCTTTCCTTTGTTAAAGGTGAACATTTTTTTATTACTTTTTCATAGTGGACAATAATCATTCATAATATATCTAATCATTTATAATGTATCCTTGGCTTCTGACTTAAGAGTTTTTATCTGAAAGTCACAAATTGTTCAGAGAGTATCCTCACAGCATCCCTTTGAAGTATTTTTATCTCA